AGAGAAGGGTTTTCTTTTATACTTATTTTACTAAAGAATAAAGCTTTTCTAGACTAAAGACCTCTATTAAACTCTTATAAGAATAAAATATTGTTGTGCTGGGTCTACTTTCTCTTTTGCTCCACTTCCTTATTTGATCCACTTATAGTTCTGCTGCCTAAATGCTTCATGTCTGCCTAAACCTTACACTCTTTATATAAACACCTTAGATAGCTAACTTTTACAATGCAATCAATTCTCCATGACCTTCAGTACCCAATACCCTTTCAACCCAATAAATACTAAAGTAAAATTATTTATAATCTAAAATAAAATAAAATAAAGTTAGATTACTTATTAGAATTAATATAGTAAACTCCATAACCTACAATAGTATTAAACTAAAGAAAAGAGGTTAGATTTATAATAATAAGTATAAGTTATTACTAGTAAGTATTATTATAAATATCTTAATTAAAGTCTATTATTTATTAATATTTATTCATAATTTATATAAAAGAGTATTTATACTAGGCTAGATATTATAAAAAACTTTAGTCTATAAAGCTCTATAAAGATCTAAAGTTAGTATAAAACCATAAGTAGGTTTATAACGTTTATAGTGTGACCGTGTGGAGTGAACCACTGCTTGCTGTGATGAATACGGAGTCAAACGGAAACTGCTATATAGAGCGAACAACTAAGTGAGGAATGAAGAGAGTTCCAGAGGAACAGAAGCTTATATACAGGCTGCCAGCAGCACGCACGTGCCGTGCTTCTACACGTGATCTGCCCCCAAATCCTCCAACTCCGTAACATATAGTAGTTTAATAAACTAGAAGTAATATAAAATCCTTTTGAAGTATAGTATATACTATAATAAACGCTAAAATTATTAATAAAAAGAACGTATGGTACTAAAATAGTATACATAGTAGCTATAAGTTCTTTAATACTAGTATATTTATAGTATAAAACTTCTAATTTAACTTAAGTAGAAATTATATATATTAGTAATAATATTCTATTTACTAAGTTAATAATAGTTTAACTTACATATAACTTATAAGTTTTATATAAAGTTTTCTTCTACCTTTAATTGATCTAGATTTTATTAAGTCTCTCTATTATATTTCTAGTTAATTTAAATATTTAGTATATATTTTAGTTACTTTAGAGTTAGTATAATAATGACTTTAATAACTATAAGTTTATCTAGATTCTAAGTAAGCTTTTAAACTATTAAATATATAATTTATAGAAATAGAATATAATAATAACTAAATAAATCCTTAGAATTAACTTTCTTTAAACTAGAGTATTACTATAATAGTCTAGCTTATTACTAAATACTTTATATTCTTTATAGCTCTTTCTTTACTTACCTAGCTTAAAGTCATTTACTAAAGTAATAATATTACTTAGTATAATAATTATTTATTTAGAGCTTAAATGAATTAACCTAAAGTTATTATAACTAATAAAGCTTAGACTTATAAATACTAAAGCTTACTAAGTTTATTAATAAAAATAATATAACTTACTCTAGTATTAATATTATAATAGAGAGAACTTTTAGTAATATTTACCTTATTATAATACTTTTATAAATTTTTAACCTTAATTCTTAAATACTAAATTCTCTTCTCTTTTATATAAAACAAGGAGCTTTTATAAGAGACTTCTATATTAATACCTTATAAGGGCGCCTTTACTAAATTAGTACTGTGACGGTTCTGACCGCCACTACGCTACAGACCAGCCCCTGGCTGGAACCCTGCGGCAACCATGCTCCAGACCAGTCCCTGGCAGGAACTCGGCTAAGCAGGTGCGCTTGGCACACCTCCTGTATATAAGAGCCTCCAGCTCCTGAGCTTCTGTCCTTTCTTCTCTTCTCTCCACAGCTTAAAATCTTCGTATAGACAGTTCCACAGTGTCAATCTCACCACTCGTGATACCTGACGTAGTCGTGCACTCTTGCGCGGTCCATCAGCTGTGCGTGTCGTCACAAGTACGCTAAATTATAGCCCTTACTATAGTATAACTTAGAGAGCCTTAAATTCAAGTATTTTAGACTCTAATATTTAACGTCTCGGCTAATAGTCTTCTAGAGCTTTTAAGGGTTATTTTACCCTTAGTTTATAAACTCGCTATTAATTAAGTTATTACTTTTTATAAGGATTTTAATCTCTTTTTCTTTATTTATTTATTATTATTTTATCTTCTTTATTAGCTAGTTCTTTTTATCTCTTAAAAATAGCCTAGAATACTAATATTTCTTTATAATATACTAAATAGAGCTTTCTAATTAGTCTATAATATATAAGAAGTCTAAGTATTTAAAGCTAGCTAGTAATATAAGAAATTAATAACAAGTCTTCTTTTATAATATAATAAATAGATAATAAATAGTAACTTAGAAGTTTATTATAAATAAGAAAGTACTTACTAAGTAACTTAGTAGAATAAATATACTATATTCGAGTAAACTTCTCTATTAGTAATACTATAATTATTATTATATTATATAATTCTAGGTTCTTTTAACCCGCCCTTATACCTCTTGAGATAGTCTCGCCTTTAGTTAGATATATACCTTTATAGGTAGTAAGGCCTAAGATACTAATACTTCTTTATAATATACTAAATAGAGCCTTCTAATTAGTTTATAATATATAAGAATTATAAGTATTTAAAGCTAGCTAGTAATATAAGAAATTAATAATAAGCTTTCTTTTATAATATAATAAATAAACGATAAAGAATAAGCATACTACCTCCTTCTACTACTTCTACTACTACTTCTACTTATTCTTTCTTATCTTTAATATATCGCCTAGAAGATAGCGGAAAAACGATCCTTTAATATAGAATAATAAGACTAAAAAGAGCGCTAGAAAGGTTATCGAAAGGCTCTTTAAATAAGTACTACTACTACTACTACTACTACTACTACTACCCCGCCTACGCCGCGATAAGTTTATTAGGCCCTTAAATCTATAGTATCTTATTAAAGTAATAAACCTTAATAAGTTATAGTTAATCTAGATAATCCTAATAATAATAAGTATAAATATAAGTCTTATAAAGTATAATTAAATAGTAGTAATAAACTAAAGGTAGTTATTAATAATAATTAAGTATCTAATACTTCTTTATAAGCTTCTAAAATTAAGTACAAGGCTTAGGATACTATAGAGCTAGAATCGAGCTTTTGTTTATAGGAGAGTTTATAGTATATATATATACTTCTTTTAGACGCTAGGATAAGACTCTCTCTTAGATAAACGATAAGATTCTTAATAGAGGGAATTATAACGATTTTATACCCTTTACGCGAGACGAACTAGCTTATTTTATAACGCTTTCTCTCTCTAGTTTTATAAAGACTCTGTTCGAATTCTTTATATTATTCTAAATATAAATATAAATATAAATATAAATATAAATATAAATATAAATATAAATATAAATATAAATATAAATATAAATATAAATATAAATATAAATATAAATATAAATATAAATATAAATATAAATATAAATATAAATATAAATATAAATATAGCGGAAAGATACTAAGGGTAATAGAGACTTCGTTCTTATGTATAAGGATATAGCGGGTAGTACTAGCGACCTATAGATTTAAAAGAGCTTTTTATATTCCTTATAACTTAATTATAATATATTTCGGTATATACTTAATTTAAGCTTCTAGGTAAGCCTAGAGGTTTATTATATACGATCTACCTTTATAGTATATATTATAGACTTAGTATAAGAATATTTAAGAATATTTTTATATTTCTTATTCTTTTACCGAAATAAGTAGCAACTTTAGTATATAAAGTTATTCCTACTATTCGAGTATTTATAAGCTACCTTTAAGTAGTATATTATACTACTATAGAATATAGCAAATAATAAAATAATTATAGGGTTTTCTAGACGCTCTAATAATACTATTTATTATAAGTATAAGCCGATTAAGGAAGGGTATAAGATATAGGCTATATATTTTATAGGGTATACCTAGAACGTTTTATTTAGTTTAAGGAAGTAGAAGATAGTAGAGATTTAATTATAATAAGGGCTTACTTTTATAAGTACTTTATTTGTTTTTATACCTATTTTCCCCTCTTTTAGCTAATAGTTTTAGAGTTCGTTATATAAATATTTTTCGAGAATAAGAAAGCGCTTAATTAACCGTATAAACCTATCTTATTTATATATTTTTCCGACCGGTAAAAGTATATTTATATAGCTATATACGTATAGGTAAGGCTTAAGTATATATACGGCTCTCGGTATAGCTCCCTAGGAGCTAAGTATAGCTATATAAGTAATATAACATATACGAGTTCTAAACCTTACGAGAGCTATAAGAGTCTCCGCTAATACTCTTATACTGAGATTATATATATGTCGATTTTAGTATTAATAATACTTATTTTAGGTCTTAGTATATTATAAAATTACTTTTTAAATAGTAGAAAGTAAGTTAAACTAAGTCTTATAAGTTATTTCCCTTAACCAAAGTAAATAAAGCGTTAGCGTTCGCTTTATACTAGACGCTTATATAAAGGCTTTACCTATATATATAACCTACCTACTTGAACCTTAGTTTACCTACTAATATCTTATAGAACGCTGCGCGGAACTTTCACGCCGGTGCGAATTAGTTAGTTAGATATTAGTAGATACCATTAAAGTTATCGAGGCCCGTAGAAGCTTGGACCAAACTCTGAAGATTAATAGACTAACAAGGTTGGCATTTTATTTTGTCCCATTGGGGTTCATAGCTACATTTTTTGGGATGAATGTAGACTTGTTCCAAAATGATCCTCCTGTGTGGATATTCTTTGCTGTTGCCGTCCCGGTCACTGGACTCACTTCCTTGCTACTTCAAGGGAAGAATCCTATGAAGGATTTTTCTTCAAAGGTTTCTATGAGACTTTTTGGCATTTCGGGAATTTGAGCTTGTAATTCAAACAATGACATTTAAACTATTTCTTGACACATGAAAAACTCGCTAGATCTATTGTAACACGTTGCAAACCATCTCGCTAACCGCAAAAGCTTGACGACCTTTTTTTACTTGAGTCGGCCAGTTGGCACTTCTGAGTGCCGAATCAGCTAAATTGATTAACATCACATCGCTTCCCTTTGCACCCATGAAGCTACCAACGATAGGCATGTATTCCTTTGACCCGCTGATGCGCGAGTTATATGGCTTCTGTCCGACTACAAAAAGCAAGTGAGTAAAAATGTAGGAACTGAGACCTAGGGTGTAGCCACTTACTGAGGATAATGAGTAGTGGGGTTTGAAGTACTGCAGGTAGGTAAAATACCGAGAATGATCCAACAATGCTGGGAAGCCTTCTCGCGGTTAGGATAATATCTGGAGGTAACGATCGATACCTACTTGTTGGCATCATCCCGGTACTTCGGGCTTGCAGAACCAAACGGCATGAGCATAATAGCATCAGTGACCGTGTTACTGTTTGGCCCCATGATATTCTTTTCAAACCAAGATCTGAAAACTTTCATTTCTGCCACCCCCTGCGCGCGTTCTTCTTTAGTGAAGGGAACTGTAATGCTCCTAGTTCAACGTTAAATATCTTCAGAACTGCGATGATTCTCGAAACTGACCATCGTTTCTGCATGTATAGTCCTACATAAGCTACCTTCCCAAATTCGGCAAGGTAGTCACGTCGAAATTCATCGAACGTATGATATGCATCGTAGTACATAGGCCATACAGCGCTCTGTTGATCTTAGTTCATGTTAATCAAAACGTATAAATCGCCAGATAAATACCATTTCAAGATATTCAAGCAGTGATTTTTTCCCTGCTTCTGGAGGAGGGTTAGATTCCCAGGTGTCTGTGATACTAATGGGAGTTCGCTTTACACCGAGATAGTTCTCAACTATTGTGATGAATGCATCGTTCATCTTCTGCTGTTCGGGGTCTGCCAATGGAAAGAAGTCTGAAGGATAGAGCAAGCGTTTAGGAAACTTGTATAGTTAGATTATGACAATTGTTGTATGGGAAATCCATTCTTACCTCAACCGAATCCTGGACATCCAAGGTTGCGGAGATGAGATATTTAGCATCTCTTAGACTTCTGTGTAGGGTGCAAACAGTGTCAAACTCGCTATTGCACATCATTAGATTCATCTATACCCTGGGAGACCATTCTGGAGACACACTTGCAACTCGGAACGATACCCTGTCGACAGGTAATACCATAGGTGGTTATGAGGCCGAAAAGACCATTAAAAGCTGCAGGAAGACGGATAATACCAGACGCTTTGACTGTGTAAGCATAATACCACAGAAAACTTGAATGCCACTTACTATCACTTCCGATTGAATGGTCCAGCCAGGGATAGCCCGCAAGTGAAGCACCTGCACCAGCAGAGCTGAACGAAGGGGTCTGATACATATCACCTCTGGGGTTGAAGGGGCAATGGTAGTCAATCCACTGATCAGTTGGCTCCTCTGCAGATGCAAAAGCAGACATTTTTGTCTTTCCCACAATGGTAGCACCAAGCTCAATAAGCTTAACGACGTAGTCCGCAGAGGAAGTACGCTCTGGATAATAAATATAATTCATTGTATGCCCTGTTCATCATCGTGGTTCGAATTCCCTTCAAATCGTAGTTGTCTTTGATGCTCACGCGAGTACCGGCCAATGGCTTCTCCTTGCTTGGAGTGAAGTAGAGGCGACTAGGAACAGCAATACACCTGAAAGAACCGTGCTGTGAGACTGCTTGGAGTACAGAGAAGCTAAGGGCACGAATCATAAGTATGAACCGAGGAGTATGGACAGAGGAGTGAGCCTACTAACCTTGTAGGGTCGTGAAGGTCATTAGTAATGGTAGGAATGACGAACGCGTCAAGACTATCCTTATAGAGTTTCCAAGCCTGATGGATTGATTTACCTTGAACGAAGTAGGGCCCTGGAGGGAGGGAAGCACTCTTATCGTTTACATCTTTTGTGTAGATACGGTCAAAAAGGTTGCTCCTGGCGAGCCTGGCAGCAACATCATCAACATTAATGTTGATATTTTCGTCCGGTTGCAAAATGATATTGGAGCTGGAATAGTCGGAGAAAACGTCATCGCGGTTGCCAAAATCCCCTAGAGCCCTTTGAACTTGCTCAGAATTGAAGCCAGTATCGTGTACAGAGAGTAACACGGCGGGCGTCCAAGCTTCATTGGCCACGGTCGTTTCAATGAGGCGACCCTGCGCAAAGGTGTTTCAAGGTCAGCAAACCCGTACAGTAAAACACACAAATTCCTCAATGGTAAAAGTAACTAACTCACCACTTCTTGAGGATGAACGAAGAAGAAGCCTCTTGTAAGGGATCGTACAGTAGAGAGAGCCATTGCGAAATTCTTGGGAAATGGAAATGGAAATACCGTGAAAGTTTCTGAAACTAAAAGCAGGATCAAGCAAGGCTGCGTTGAACACCAGAATTACCACATTCTTCTGCTTCTTTATCAGGTGGCAAAGAACATGGAGCTCAAACGAAACTTGTCTTACGAATCAGATCATTTCTGAACTTCCCCTCATTGTGGGGGGAATCTTAGCTAATGGTTATAATCATTTTCAGGCCAAGTTGCAGCTTGCTGCTGCTTAAAAGACATTTTTCTTGATTGTTTTGTGTTACTACACTAGCTGAATTTGCTCACTGAATGGCTTACCGCTTACTAGCTTACCGCTTACCTAATGTCACCTCCTTCTCTCTAAATCTTGATTCTGGTGCAACATTTATATAACATTCGATAGTGGTGTGGTGAGGCTACGAGGTGTGGTCACTACACTATTAAATTGAGAAATAATTATAACTAACCTAAAACAGCCCTTCCGCAGGTACCTGATTTAAGACTAGAGTAGAAGGCAGGTGAAAACGGAAAGAACATAACCTTACATTTTACCCTAACAAGAAAGAATTGCTTAACTAACACAGCCTTGTAATATTAAACGACGTAAATTCAAAGATCTACTTTTTGGAGCGCTCCGAACTTTTCAAACACCAAAAGCCTTTCAGTTAGTCTACTAAGCTTGCTATCCTACCTGGCCTTCCAGAATTGAACTACATTACGACTGCTAACAAAGTGAAAACTAACGACATTCGTGAACACAGGCCTGCCTACCTTGCTACTCGTGGATTTATATACGTTAAATTTAACACCTCCTTAAGACGTGAAGATTTTAATAATAATACTTTGATTAAAAACAATTATTACTTAGAAATTAAGAAGATACTCTTTAGAGAACGTCCGGATCTAACTAATGTTATATTTCTTAGGCACTAGGTCTATAACCTTAATATAGCTATATACGGTCTTCTTAAATATATACTTACATGTTATATTCTAGGTTCGAAAGCGTAGTACTAAATGTCCTCTTAGGAAAGGTGCTCTAGTAACTACGGCTTAACTACAAACAATAGCCTGTAGCGATCTTATATTATAAGGAGGAAAGTCTCGCCTAGAGCTATATTTCAGAGATAACCTAACGCTAAGGATAATACAGTGGGAATACCTAAAGTAAGTCTCTACTCTAAGGATATAGCTTATATAACTATATTTTAACTAAATACAAAGTAGTTTATAGCGTATTATTATAGATTATATAGATTAGATACTAGATTATATAGATTAGATTTATAAATACTAGATTAGTAAATACTACTAAGTAGATTAAACTAGTATTTTATTTCTATCTTTATTAAAAACGCTATTATAGTTAAGGTTATTATTTAAGGTAAAACTAACTAATTACTATTATTATCTATATTAACCGTACTATATTTATATAATATAAGTAGTTTAGAGGGTAAGATAACTAAAAATCTAGTTATTTTCTTATTTTTATTTTATACTATTATAGAATTAGTCCCTTTACTAACTATAAGTATACTCTTACCTTTTACTTAATATAGTTTATACTATATTTCTCTCTTATAACGCTAACTATTATTAACTTATACTATACTATACTAAAGCTTTTAACTAAGTACTAATTTAAGAATTAGAATAAATAGTAAGTACTCGAGTTATAATACTTAATTTAGGTTACTCTACAATTTTCTTTTATAGTACGAACTATTATTAACTAATACTCTACTATATTTAAGCTTTTAACTATATACTAATTTAATAAATTAGATAGCTTCGGAGTTAAAAAGCTAGGGCTTATTTTTATATAGGTTATATTTAATAGGTTTAAAGGTTTTTAATACCACTAGAGTAATTTAAAGAAGTATAAGATTTAACTAAAAATAAAGTTTATAAATAGTATATAAATTAACCTATAGATATATTAAATCAGTCTTCTAATAGTAAATAATCTAATTAGTATACTAAATTAAATTATAAATAGTAGATAAGTTTATGGATATTAGATTTATATATATACTTATAGATAGTAGATTTATAGACAGTAGACTTATAAAGACTATACTGCCAAGACGCTATCTACTTAAAACCGTGTCAAAGCCGGCCTAAAACTAGCTCGAAACTAGGTTAAATCTAGCTCGAAACCGGCTCGAAACTAGGTCGAACCTAGGTCGAGCCCGACGCGAACCTTAGGAACTACTTAGGAACCGCTTAGGAACCCTTAAACGACGCTAGTCGAGCCGATATTAAGCAGATTTTAAAACCGGGTCTTATTCTATAACTCGATAAAAAGTTCGGGGTTCCGGAGCGGTTCAAGGTTCCGGAGCCGCTTATAGGGTTCGAGCTAAGGTTGAAACTAGTTCAAAACTAGTATTTGATGCTTTCAATACTTAAAAATAGCTTGAAAATAAAATAAAAAATCCCGTGATTTCGAGTTATATTCGTGCCTATACTACTCCTACGAAACACGCCCTTTCACAACTATATACTATACTACCACTATATACTACTACTATATACTAGCTATACTACTATATACCGTACCGCGTCGTACGAGTAGTCGTCGTCGTACGCTTCGAGGGTTACCGAGTATTTGGAAGGAAGGGTTATCGAGTACTTCGAAGGGAGGGTTATACTAAGGCCTATAGCGCTAGTTGCTGTAATAGAAAAAAATAAAATCGGCTAGCGCCTAAGCGCGATAATAGAAAACCGAATAGCTATATAATAAAAATAGATATTAATTATTAGACTTTAAATATAAGTTAAGCTATATAGTTATAATAATAATAGAATTAATACTTGAAATCTATTTTTTATAAGTATTATTTTTTAAAGTAGAGAGAGTAGTAGATACTATAGAGTAGTAATCCTAAAAAGTTAAATAAGTATAATAACTAAGCTATCTTAGGCGCTAATAAAAAAAGGTTCTATTATAGTAACTAACGCTATAGGCCTTAGTAGGTTATCGAGTATTTCAAAGAGAGGGTACTCGAGTATGTTCGAGCGTTGTCGAGTACTTCGTATTAAAAATCGATACTACTAGCGGCTATACAATTTATATATATATATAATAAGTATATGTATAGGTAGGACGTTTTCGCGAAGTACTTACTGGACAAAGGTCGAATGTCTATCGGATATCCGTTAGACCCTAAACGCTTTTATAATAAATAATTAAATATCTACTTATTTATATTTTATTGTAACTAATAAATTATAAGCCTAGATACTCTTATACCTTTATATAACTAAAGTATTAAAAATTAACTACTTCCGATTCTATATTATTAAGAGATGAAAAGATATAATTAATCTACTATTATATATATATTACTACGCCTAGAGTAGATTATTAAGTACTAACTTAGTCTAGTATATATATATTTAGTACGCCCTATAAGATTATTAATTATTATCTTATATTACGTAATATTATGTAATAAACACGTACTATTTATTTACTTTTATATAAATAGTGTTCTTAACTACTAAAGTAGTTTTTATTATTAGATAATAAGATTGTATAACTAAAGTTACTATATATTTAGAACTTAAGCCTTTATCTAATAAATATTATCTCTTATTACCTTAAGTTAGAACTAAGGCGCTTTAATTAATAAGCTAGATATACCTCGAGACTAGCTTAGAATAAAAATAGTTAACTTAATTAGCTAATTTATTTAAAAAGAACTTATTAATAAATCTACTATAGGTTATACTATACTTATATACCCTTTCTACTTACGTTTAACCGAGCTTAACTATTAGTAAAGTATACTTAAGAAAGGTTAACTGAGATTAAATTAGATTAAGTAGTATTAAGAGATATTAAGAGTTTTTAAGATAAATTAAGATAAAAGTAAGTAAAGTGCTTATATTAAGCTAGGTAATATAGTTCTTAAACTATATTAAGTAATATTAAAAAATATCTTAACCTAGACTATAAATTAAATAAACCTAAGTTTACTTAATATATAGTTTAGATTAAAAGAGTTTCTAGTATAAGTTAAAATAGTATTTAGTATAAGTTATTTAAAGATATTTAAATATAAGTTTAATATAAGTTTAATTATAATTAGATTATCAGTTATTTAGCTAAACGTTAAACCTTGGTTAAAGCTAGATTAAATATAGTTAAAATATAAATTTTATTAAATTAAATCAAATTTAATACTTAGTATAACTTATATTAAATTATAATAAAACTTATATTATAGAGCTATATAAATAAGTACTAAATCTAAGATAATATTAGGCTATTATATATATACTAGCTAAACATTTAGCTTATACTTAACTATTAAATTAAATAATTCTAAAAATACTTAAAATAATTATTTTTCTTAAAAAAAAAACCATAATTCTTTTTATTTTTACGATTTTTTCTTTATTTTATATAGTAATTAGCCCTAATTCTAATATCTATATACGTTTTAGACTTCGCGCTATAAGTCTATACACTCCCGAAGTTTAGCTGAGCTAGCGGGTCGCGGGCGACGTACTCCGTAGCTATATGTCACGAATCACGTTCTCACGTGATACTTGTCATAATAAAGAGGCGCAACCCTCGACAGGCACATCCAGGTTTCTTATAGCAAACAGGGATGCTTAGACTAGCTAAGAGATCCAAGGATTTCTCGTGTATGTAGTCACGTAATCAATCGCATCGCCTGTATCGACAGTCGATGTTAGCGATAGGAGGT